ATCTATGACTAAGTGGGCGTTGACGTATATGATTTTTCTGATTAACAATTATGATAAGTCTTGGAAACATAATCCGTGTTGCCCAAGGACTATCCGATTCACCCACAACCAATAAAATTGTCTGGTTTAGTAAATGAGTATTTATATGGTAAATGGGAAAAGCAATTCCCGGGAAATGTCTGCTATATAATCATGTTAATATATGTTTTAAAATAAAATAACTAGAATACAATCTCTTTTAATGTCACTGATCAATTTAGAATACAAATATTGAAAAATATATTGCACAGAAGAGTGATTTTAGTGCACGTTTTTTGCCTTTAAGAAGTATTAATTACAAATATTAATTCTCCTGATGAGTTCAAATGAAACGAGAAAATTATTTTTTGGGCTAAAAACTTAGAGCAATTAGGTGAAGGTTATTTCTATAAATGTGAATACATGAATTTCCGTACCGATACCTTAGATGCAAAGTGTCCAAACATTAATGTAAGGTCCGTTTTCTTATCAAAGTTTTCAGAAACTTTTTTTAAATTGGGGAAAATGTTCTCTTCTTTTTGATATCATTGACAGCTGCTTTTTTCAATAAAAATGGAACTCGTATATTTACTTACCTTGTCATTGGTCATTTGCAAAATTATTTTGTTAAAAAACATTCTGATTGTACACACAAGTACTCTAAAGTTGACATTAAAAAGATGCTTGAGTTTCTGATTGACAATATCTATGTGGTTTTTGGAGACCAGGTCTTCCAACAATCTATTGGAATTCTCATGGGTACCAATTGCGCCCCGTTATTAGCAGACCTTTTTCTGTATTCATATGAAGCAAAATTTGTCCAAAATCTTATTTGTGATAAGAAGAAAACACTTGCTGTGGCCTTCAACTCGACATTTAGATATATCGACGACGTATTGTCAATTAACAATTGTTATTTCCATTCTTGTGTCGATACGATATATCCCGGTGAGCTTGAGATAAAAGATACCACAGAGTCTGACACATCTATTTCATATTTGGATATTTTACTTGAAAAAGACGTTAATGGTAATTTAACAACCAAGCTTTATGATAAACGTGATGATTCTACCTTTTCAATCGTCAACTTCCCTTACTTATGCAGCAATATACCTTCATCACCTGCATACGGGGTTTATATCTCTCAGTTGATTCGATACGCAAGAGCATGCTCTACGTATGCACAATTTCTAAAACGAGGTAAATTATTGACAAACAAGTTGATGAAACAAGAATATCTGATTTCAGCAGTCTCGTTTAAAGTCATCATTTCGCAAGTTCTATGGTCGATACAATGACCTTGTCAGCAAATACAATTTATCATTGAGTCAAATACTGACTGACGTTTTTCATACTAATTGTTAGGCCATTATTTACACACTGAATTGTCGACGGATTTCCCGATCATGACAAGGAGCACACGGCGGGTGTGACCGGTCGGCAGGGGATGCTCACTCCTCCATGGCACCTGATCCCACCTCTGATGTTTTGGAGGTCCGTGTTTGCTCTGCACCTATTTTGTAATGTTTAATGGACTTTTGAGTTTGAATACTGTTCGTTATCTCCAAATACATGTATTTCATTAAATAAAAAATTTGAATTTATCAAAGATTCTTTTTTAATTTCAAAAAAAGTGTGATTAAACAAAACCAATTACTTATAAATAAAGCAGTAAATAAAGGTTATCTAAAACAGCCTATCTAATGTGTTCACAACAAAAATAAGTCGATTTTTTCTTTTTTTGGGATATATTTTAACTCTTACACCATCCCAAATGTAGTCTTACGAGTCCATGTGTCTGTCGGATTTACAAAATCTGATCAAACAGAAGGACATCCGTTAACTCTGGATGGCACAAATAATTCCAAAATAAGATCAAGAATAAAATTCCAAAATTTGAACGAAAAAGTTTATTACTACTGGATAGCTTCATCTCTTTGTCTACAATTTTCACAATTGCTTTATATAGTATATGGTATTTTTTCATTGCAAGTCTTTGTAAATTATGTTCTGAACAGAAAAAAAAATATTATAATCCCCAAAATAATGATTGATTGATTGTAGTTTTAAGTCCCATGCAAGCACATCAGATCACCAGGTGCCGTTGAAGGTCTTTAAATTTAACAAGACCTTTACTCGGCACTCAGGGCGCCGTTGAGCAGTGAGGGTTCTATAAAATAATATTGTTCCACAGATTTGAAAAAAAAAGTTGGAAAAGAAATCAGGAAATTGAATTTAAAAAAATAATAAATGTAACCAAACGAACTTCATTATATGTTCTGATCGCCAGTTCTATAAAAAAAAATCGGACATCAATTTCAGAATCTTTACATATATGTTACGAAGAAAAAAAAATCAGATTACAGATAATTCAGAAATATGCTATTTGGTGCATTTTGCAATGTAGAGCACTGCAAAACATGATCTTGTTCAAAACGTGGTCTTGTACAAAACGTCTAAATTAGTGTCTTTCTATAACTGGAACTTTAATTTATAATCGAAATAAACACAACCATAGACTGACATTTTTATTAACAATATTATTATTAAGATACCAGGAACACTTTCATTATTAACAACCCCCTATCGTATTGCATTACCGCGGTACCGATTACAAACAATAACTTTGCAATAAGGAACTATTCAGTGCAGACAGTAAAATCCTTTGGAAGTTTTGAATACACTTTAATAGTTTGAGTATATAAAAAGAATTGGAAGTTACGAAAGAAAAACTCTACAATTTTTAAGAGCTTTAATCTATTGATTGTTTTACAGCTTCATATGGTGACAAAGATGAATATTATAAATTACATTTTAAAAACAAATCCCCAGTCAAATATTATATACAACCAGAAGTCTCTGATAAGATTGTAGCTCCACTAGTTTTGTAACTCTGCAAGAAAAACGTTTCACCATGGCTTGATTTTTTTAAAAAGTGAATTTTGTCTCGATGTCTTTTAAACTTGCTTTATCCTTAAAGCGATATTTCTATATATCGGTTTAAGAAAATAGCCACGGTCGTTGCCATACCTATTAAAATTAGAAAATTCTAATTTTTATTCGATTAAAACACAATTTCTCACATAGTTTTAGCTTAATTTCAATAAAGCAAGTTTAAAAGACATCAAGACATACCATAATTCAATTTAAAAAAAAAAAAAGCAGGCCAAAATGAAACTTTTCTTTTGCATTCTTACACATCCTAGTGTAGTCTAGGTGTGTGCCAGTTAGTTTACAAACAGCCAAGCAGACACCTTACCACTGTACAACTTCTTCAGATCTTTCTTTGACCAGTGGAAGTAAAAAAAAATCTTTTTTTTAACATACGGATATGAGAAGTTCGGGTATTGTGCGCACAATATATAAAATTTGGTAAAGATATTTATTTCAATGTAAGTTCTAAGGTGTCTTTGAAGAAATAGAAGAAAAAAAGAAGGAATAATTGCGGCACCAGCAGATGCACACATTGATTCTTTCAAATCAGACTGAAAGATGTCATATATAACCACTAATGACGTACATGTATAATATAGAATTTACATTAATTAATGATAAATATGTATCATTTTTATCATTAGAGAACAGAATGTTGTATCATTGATGATGACACAACTATTGATAAATGACATAATTTGTATCATAAGTGGACATGGTTAACGCGTTGGTTGATGAATGATACAGTTGTATCTGTTATGGATGCAAAGTCAACCATTAATGCTACATTCTATCACTAGTGAATTTCATATCATTAGTGGTTACTCCACACAAAGTGATATATGTATATATATATATATATATATATATATATATATATATATATATATATATATATATTTCCTATTATGCTCATCAGGCTATGCAAAAATTCCAAAGCATAATTTGAAATAACATGAATCATATTTGTTCAATAGGGCATTGTTAATGGAAAAAAATCAATCAAATTAAAAACAACAACAACAAAATAATACTGCAATATATAAACTTGCGTAAACAAATTATATATGCTTATGATTTGAACTAAATGATCATGATACTTTTTTAACATGATCAGATTGCACTCTTTACTTGTCAAATGTATAGAGATTTCATGTCTATTGTTTGTTTGTTTTTTCATTCATAATAGTTGATAAAATATAAAATTGTACATGTACATATAAGAAACTTTCTATGCCCAGGAGGATTATTTTCAATTTCAAATAGGACTTATTTATTTATTTTACGTTTTTTTCTCTCTGAAGATCTAAAATAACGAAAGAAAATTGATATCGTGCTTCAAATCGGAAGACAGAAACTTAAAACCTTGAGACCTTTACTCGAATATATTCATTTCTTTGTGTCGAGAGACTGTCGGCCAACAAGACTTTGCCCACTGTGGAATCACTAACTCATGGAAATTTGACCGATTCCTCTAAAAAGATTTACTAAATCTGCTTAACATTTCAAAAGCCTTTTTATAACAATATCATCAATGCTCATTCATTAATTCATTTGAAGTAAAATTGGAGAGCTGATACAAGTAGGGAATAGTAAGCCATTATCGGAATTTCATTTCTTCATTCCTGGCGCACAAAAAAGAAACATTCTTGTGAAAATGCTTTGATATAGATACCTGATCTGTTCAAACGTAAAATCAATTCGATATTAATTAAGACCAACAATGGTCTCATTACAGTTTATTTCGTGCCATTTCATCCACCTTTAAAAAATTAAAAGAGAAACCCGAACAGTACATACGGCACGGATCAATGTGACGTGAATTTTTTAAGCCAGATCTATTATAAATATATCGGGAGAAAATAAAAGTCCAATTTCTGAATCACACAAAAATCAGTTTGGTTGGCATATTATATTTCTTTCTTCTTTCATAGCTTATTTATGACAGGAGGCCCTATATTTTGTGTAAAGTGCATTCAGTGTCTTAATGTTTCCGCCTTATTATTATTTTATATAGTTTAATCTGATGTAATCAGTTTTCGACTTACCTCCCTTGAGTAACTTAGATGTCCCCTTGCAGTTTTCCCCCCAGAAAGACAACAGTGAGATTTGATTAGTATGGGAAATGATCGGAATTTATACTGACGTTGAAACGTCATCTGCCTGGCACTCGCTTTTACAGCGATGATCTATCAATGATCCTCTGTTAAATCGAGTCCCCTTGTTTCTATCCTCCTATCGAATTAAACACGTCAAATTGCAATTGTTTCATAGCAAATAAAGGCTTTCCTATGTAAGCTTCCTGAATTACTATTAAAGGGAAATGAGTTATTTTCTGCAAGTTCCACGTCGTGGTATGTGTAGGGGTGTGGGGAGTTAGGGATCGTTAATCAGAATTTCAGTGTACTCCTGTCAGGCAACGACAGACTTGCAGAAAAATTTTATCACTTTCGAAGATTTTCACGTGTTTCATGTATAGAAATGAACAAGCAGGCCAGATTTTCTTACGAAACTTTACAAACAATTTGTTAGAGGGATCAAAGTTGTCTTAATTTTCAGTTTTTGTTGATTTATAACTCGCAAAACATGAATGTGTCGAATCCACTTTTTTTTGAATTGATAAAAAAAAAATCACTTTTGAATGTTATTGCAGCCCGGAGGACCGGGCTGCTCTATACATATAAGTTTAAGTGTTGGTATATTGGGATTGAGGTGGGAGAAGTTATTCAGAATTAAAGGTTTTCTAAACATTAAAAAGATTGTTAATCAGAATGTTCTTTCCCTTTATAAATTACGAGATACACAATAATTTTACTTCCATAAAGTGAATCTGTAAAAATATATATGTTTTTCATATTTAATATATAAAGTTGCTCATCATTTACTATCGAAAAAACGACAGGTCCCTTTTTTTAGAACATCGAATTTTACTTATCGCATAAAAACATAAAAACGTACTTTACACAGTTCGTGTTTTATAATCTTAAAGTGAAAGACATTTTTGAAAATAGGTGATGCATGTGTTTGGTTTCAAATTATATTTTATGCAGCCAACATTTACTTGAGGAATTGATAAAGTTTAAAAGGGTATCGTTTTTGTTCGATTTTCATCCGACTATAAGTTTTCAAAGTAGTCTCTACTATCGTCTCCATCATTTAGACGCATGCGTTTTTCACACATATCGAAGCGGTTTGATGATCAAGACTCATTTCCATTGTTTACTTTATTTATTTCCCGGGCGACAATTGATGGTTACATCAATGTTTTCTTGTATATAAATTAAGTAACTAAAGAGATAATTTCGAGTATCATGGTAAGTTTTGCAAAATAAATGAATAAGTTAATTTTAAGTTGATAGGGGTATATTGAAAATTACTGGATAAGGTTCGTCAAGAAACTTTCTAAGGAAAAATATTGATTGATTGTATGTTGTTTTACGTCCCATTCGAGATTTTCCACTCATACAGAGACGTCACTATATACCGGTGAAGGGCTTCAAATTTTGACCTTTACTTGGCACTCAGGGCCATTGAGCAGTGAGGGATCTTTATCCTGCCGTGACACGGGGCCTCGGTTTTTAATGTCTCATCCGAAGGACCCGCAACTTTCACTTCAAAGTGCCAAGCGCATGGCGAAGGAACAGTTGCTTCCCATTTTTTATCGACTTAGGTCAGTCGCGGCCGAGATTCGAAATCACAACCTCCCGATCACGAAGCGAGCGCTCTACCGACTGAGCTAACGTGAACGGTATAAGGAAAAAATATCACTACTTTCGAAGCATACTCGAGATATAAGCATTATACTCCTACGAGTAAAGTTCTAAGAATGTTTGATATAGTATTAATCGATTTATGTAAGTTTAATTAATGACTTTGATATCAATGTAAAGATCAGGAAAATATGCACGTATTGTGATGTCGCCTTTTAATTTTTTATAACATAATAACTTTTAAAATTAAAACGACGTCAGAATCCCGTGTGTTTAGTATACTGACCTTGAAAATGACGTTACATGATGCAAAATTTCAGCGGAATAAAATTTGAGTCAACTTTTGTTCATTACTAGTCTTTGATAAACGCTAACAGACACTTTTGGCAGTTTGGAGACAGTTTACATAAACTACTGTATATCACATATAGTTATAACCAGGAGCTCCTATAGCCTTCAGTCGGTCTAAGAATGTGTCAAACATTGCATGTTGTTATTACCTGCATATGGAGTTTATGTCTCCTAGTTGATTCGGTTCGCAAGAGCAAGCTCTACATACAACAATTTCTAAAACGAAGTAAGCTATTAACAAAAAAGGTGACGAAACAAGGATATCATCAGTCTCATTAGAAGTCAACATTTTGCAAGTTCTATGACCTTGCCAGCAAATACAATCTATCATTAAGCAGACTCGGATCCAGGAAATTTTTCCAAGGAGGGGGGGGGGGGTCCACCCCAGTCAAAAAATTTCCAACCCAGAAATTTATTGACAAGGAAAAACCCCTAAACTCCTTTCCCAAACGTATAAAACCCAGAAAATTTCTTGACAAGCAAAATAAATAAATAAAAAAAATAATAACATTCCCAAAACGTGAAAAGAACCTATTTCGTGGTGGTCATGTTGTAAATTTTGAATTTTGACAGTTCCAAAGTCATTTTTAATTTGCTTCAGTATATACTCTTACTAACTCTGCAAATTCCATGGGGTGGTGGTGGGGGTGTTCCGGACCCCCTCTAGATCCGCGCATATTAAGTCGAGTCAATTTCAATGGACTTTTGAGTTTGATTACTGTTCGTTATCTAAAACTCCAAACTTCATGCCCCATATTTATACGGAATATACCTTGTATGCCAAATGTTTTCCTCTATCAGAATACAGACGCAGGATTAATGTTCAACTCCATGGAAAAAAAAACTTCATATCTATATAAATTTGGTTTAGAGTTTTGTTTGTAATTATACTGAAAATTGAATTGGGAAATTTAGAAACCTCCTTATGGCAGAAGTGAAAGTTAAAAAAGATAACGTTAAATCTAAGTGTTCTACAATAGTATGTCTTTGACATACCATACTAACACATTGTACTCTATACTGTGTTATTTCTGCTCTACAGATGTCATTTCTCCTCTATGGCTTGAGACGATATGATTTATAAATTGCAAATTCTTTTTTAATTTGTTTTACAGAAGAATACTTATGATCACTTTTACGTATTAGCCTAAATAAATGCACAACTAGAACTTAACTCCTCTGGATAATGACAAAAAATACTAAATTTCATCTGTTTTCTCTTTTCAGAAATCATTACAAAACAATTAAAATACATGAACGAATTGATGAAACAGGAGTCAACGTTTTCCATAGTAATATTTAGTACTTATCATTAAACGTAGTGACAATACTTTCACAATGAACATGTTAGTGCTTTTGGAGATATATCATTTATTTGTATTTTATGTAGGCTGAACGTGGCTTTTGGCTTTGTAAAGAAATACATGATAAATCATTACAGAAATTTTAATATATTCAAAATGTTGCCATTATAAAATATTTCAAAGAAAAAAATATGTGGTATGCTGTTTTCCTTTATGTTTCGAGAAGCTTGAAAAAGCTTGCTTATCATGTCGAGTTAGACTTAGCGCCTGAACAGTCATCTAAGTATTTCAGATCGTAAACAATGCTATGTCACTTTAAGATTGCTATAAGGCTATCAACATTCGACTTTCGAAGGGCTGAACATGGAAAAGTCCTTGTGACAGCTCCAGAAAATGCCTTAAAGCAAGGGAAGGCATAATTCAAAAAGCAGCCTTTTACAAGCTTACTGAAAATTCAAGAGTAAATGGTATGGTAAAGAATTTCTATGTATCCCAAGAAGGACTATAAAGCGAGCAAGTCTATCATTCAGGATCGCAACAAAGGTCCGAGAACAATGCATCTACATTGTGTCTTCATATTTCTACAACAGAGACATCTTATCACTCTGCCGAGTGATGACAGATGTACGAGCGTCATTGAGAGATGGTAAGTGTTTCAATAATCTGGGAAGGAATGCCTGCTGTGCAGAGGTGGAAATCTGAATCACAGTGAAGGGCCGGACAGCACAGAACAAAAGAATGGAACTGACATACATCGATTTAAAGATGAAAGTTACGAGAAACAATACCACAGGTTAGGCTGTTTATGAGAAAAACGTTGGATTGGAAGAAGAGGTAGAAGGGTCTGATAAAGACCAAAGCCAGAAGTCTCTGATGAGACAGTAACTCTACTGGTTTTTACTTATAATAAAGGATGAGTTAAGTAGCACCAGGCTCTGGGGCCTTAAAACTTAAATGAACTAACTTCAAGATTTCAAACTCACTTTTTCTTTCCACAATAAATTCTTTCTGTAAGCCTCAGGTTAAAAAGAATGAATCGATACTGCACGACCAAGCTCACATATAATTATTAGTTCCGTTATCAATCAGATTATGTTTTAAAGGTTTTCTGTACATTTTTATGTAAAACGAAACCCCATTCCTACCTCAGAAACCATTCGTTATCAGCAATCGTAATCTATCATAAAGATACTCAAGTCAATGTATAGATTTGAAAATCTATAGATCTGTATATCTTTAGAATGCAAAGCATTACTTTTACAAGACCTCTCCGAATGTACTATAATAGTTTTTGACCTCGTGACATTAACTATAATGGTTAACCTACAGACCTTTTCTAACTTTGGTAATAACTTTTGAATGAGAGAAGGGCTTCTGTATTTTACATGTACATTATATGATATTTGACCTTACGACCTTGATCTTGAAGTTTATCAAATTTGATGCAGTTTCAAGAAACTGTAATCTTGGCCATAAATAACAGTTTAATTTCAAAAATTGAATTTTTTGTTTGCTTGATGGACAGACAAGACAGGACACGAACACAAGACTGTCAATATACCATAAATAATTGCATCCTAACCACTTCGACAGTGAAAGCAGGGGACCACAAGTCTTTCTCAACTTGTTACATGTATGTCTAACTTGAGGTCTTGTGTTCCCATTACTGAATCTCCCCACCAAGAAGAAGGGGAAGGGTACGATGGCCGATATCAGCCTGTCTAAAATAAAATTACACGACCTATAATTTTGTCTTTTGTACATGTACATTTCTTGAAAATTGTACAATGTACATGTACAAAAATATAAAAAGTTACAACTTCGCGAAATGACAAAATGTACATGTACAATTCTTAAAAATTGTACATGTACACACAAAAAAATCTGTAGCAGGT